TAACCCCCAGTACTCTACACTATTCAACACTATTAACATGAGTCACGTATTTTGCAATGAGAACCCTGGGAAAAGTTCTATTCGAATTCTCACCCTTCTCCTTCCATGGGCGAAGCAGAGGAGCAGAGGAGGAGTCGGCTCCGGCCGATTCCCGCCAGTGGAACGGCAGCCAGGCGGCATAGGAGCAGCATTAGACCCAGCCATGCGCGCGGGCACCGGCGGCATGGCCAGAGGCGGCCCGAGGCACCCTAGCCACGCACGCACGCGGGTAGCTGCATCAGCGGCGATGGCGCGGCCACGGTGGGGGTGCTGCGGGCTTAGGCGCAGAGATGGAACGGCAAGGGGAGGTGCGCGTACCACGACCGGACCCGGGCCTAGCCGCGACATGGCTCGAGGCGGGACACAGCACGGCGACCACGCACGGCCGCAGCAGGGGCGGCCCGGCGCGGACGACGGTAGGGACGCGGCGCGGGGCAACGCAGTGGGGCTATGGCTCCAGCGCGGGACCATGGGAGTTCACGTGCACTCGCGAGGGACCGGCGGCGGACGGCGTGGCCACGGCGGCAGTACTCCGAGGCTCGGGTGGCTGCACAGCGACGGTGCGCGTACACGAGGAGGAGGGTGCGGGCTGGGGCGGTGGCGGCCATGGCCTGGCGATGGCCAAGGCGGCCAGGCAGCGTGAGGGCGCGCGACGCGGGGAGGAAGAGAATGGGGCACCGGTGCTACACGCGGAGGAGCAGCGTAGTGGGGCTATGGTCCAGCGCGGCCGTGCGCATGCGAAGGGCCGGCGACGGCGGGCGTGGCCACTGCGGTTGCTGTGGGAGAGAAAATGGCAGAGGCAAGCAGGGAGAGAGAAAAGAGCAAGCAACGGCTCGACAACGCGGCACGACGCGACACGAGTAATGCGGATGGTTGATTCCGCGAGGGACGCACCACCGTCGTCTAGCGGTCAGGACGGCAGTGAGGCGTCTTGTCGCCCCAGGAGCCGAACCGACGGCCACTATGCGCGACGACTGCTAAGCGGCACGGATGCACGATGGGGTAGATTGATCAAGCAGCGAGGAACGCGCCACGATCACCAACGGCAATGTCACAGCGATCATGCGTATTGATGGCACTCGACTCGGCGGGCACGGCGAGGAGACGGACGCGGTAGCGGCAGCAGGACAGACTGCCGAGAAACGACGTCGACAACGCGGCCGCAGAGGCGAGGCCGGCGACGAGGCCAGCGCGCAGCAAGGCAGCGACGAGGTTAGGCGTGCACACAGGCGTCCATGAGTGTGCTTTGTACGTGCGTGGCGTGCGTGTGTTTAGCCATTTTCTTTCTTTTTCTTTTACCAAAATATATAAATAATTATGTAATTACAAATATGTCATTATTTCTTTATCACTAATATCCATACACACATGCATATATTTATTGTATGTTTAAACGTATACTTATCTATAGAGATACACTCGGAAAGAAATAAGCTTGTACACTACTTTAATTAATGTAGCAACATGCTTACCGAAACAAAATATATATATATATCGGTTTACTAATTTAGACAATTAGCAACATCCAGGCATAAGAAAAATTTCAACAAAGCTTGAATTTAAATTAGATTCAAGAGCTATATATATATCATTCTATTTAATAATGTATTTTATTTTATTCTGTTTTTGAGTTCTCTCCTGCTCTAATCTTGCTCTAATTTATTATTAACAAGTTAATAATTACATGTTTAGTGTTAAAAGGGCTCATGTAACACCGGAGGTGTTACATTTAGCTGGCTAAAATTTAGCAGCTTCAATCTAAACAGGCCTTCCTTTCTTCGAAGAGAAATGAATTGTATTAAGTTAAGAGAACAATTATATCTCTTGATGATTGCCTAATGACATGGAGGGTGTGGCGCCGTCAGCCATGAGGGTGTGGCCATGGCGGCGGGTTGAGCTCAGCGCCAGTTCGCCCCCGCGTGACAGCAGAGTCTAAAGACAAGCAGCCTGTTCGGTTGGGTATGTTCAGATCGTTCGTTCTTTGGTTCGTTTATGTGAGAGAGAATCTTCTTTGGTGATTCGGATGAACAATGTTTTTGTGAGGGGCTTGCCAAATTAGCCAAACCCGATCAAATGATCGAGCTGAAGGACATCCAAAAGGACGATTCCTTCACGAGCCAAATCATCTATTCGTGTGACATCCAATCGATCCACCGCGCATAAAAAACCACGAGTGCACGCGTCGTCGCGGGGCGACCGGCACCATCGCCGCACCAGGCCGGGCTCGCCTTGAACCACCAAGTGGCACGGTTGAAAGCGCCCTAGCTCGGTCGTTCACCCCTTGACTCGATTTGTTTGAGTACTCACCCCATTCGCTTATGCTAAATTTGGCTTATATTAGCTGAAAAGTAGTTTATGCGAACAGGGTGACTGCATGCAGAAATGGCGTCATGCCGGATTAGCGGAGGCAATCAGATTTCTGTCTGAGCCTAAATTATCGGTGTTCAAAATATTTTACGGTTAATAACGGTGTTTAACGCAGCTAAAATATATTATTAGAGATAACAGAGGACAATTAGCAATATCGTAATAGCACTCTACGAAAAAAAAGCTAGTATATCTATATCGGCTATTTAGAAGTTAGAACCATGAAAAGAACACGTTCCAAATTGATGTTGTTGTCACTATAGATTGCTGTATGCGGATGCTACGTGGTTGTGGGGTAGAGGTAGAGGCAGATAAGGAGGCGATGAGTATCTATCCGGTCCGGTCCGGCATCGAAGAATGGACCACGGAGATTGCACAGGTTTCATGCGACACGGCTGCACGTCCGCATCATCGGCTAAAAATTTATCTGCATCTCATTGATGGAGGTGCAGTATACTCCAACAGCGACCGATTCTTATCAATGCGGTTGACGAAATATTGAAAGGAAATTTAGAACGGTAGGTCTTGATGACTCGACTAGAAAATACGCGGCAAAGCCGCGCCCTTCCAGTTGTTGTAGGTTGGTGTTGCTTCACAACATTTGCACATTGATAATTGGATTGTTGAATAGAATTAATCACTGAACCAATTATTTTATACAATGGTACGAAGTTAGTGATAAAAAATAAATTTTTGGATCAGTCAAAAGAATAAAAAGGAGAAAAAAAATGCAGGACAGTTCCCTTTCACACTCTTGAACCATCTACACTTCTCAGTTCTCACGGACAATCCGTCGAGTACTCGGTGTGCAGCGTTGTTCAGCAGTAGTGCGAGTGTGCAACAGCCCATGTTTATCTCGGTCCGGTGGCCGTCTATGGTGCTGCAGGCGAGATGGATGCAATGGGGAGCCGTGTGATGCGATCGACGGAGTCGCTGACTCACGTACCAGGCTTGTGCGACATGGCTGTTGCTTGCTTGGTGCAGGTTAAGGCTGTCACTAGGGAGGTAGTCGGGCATCAGTGATGGAGGTAGTCGGTCCCCGCATGAGCTCCTGGAGTCCTAGCCATGGTCACCGCCGTCGGCACAGCCTCGTCGCCGATTCGTGCGATTCCCTGGCCGCCGCAGCCGTGCAGGTGGCCGCTTGTGCCTAGGCCATCGCACATCGGCCCGCCCGTGCCGGGGCTGCCGCGCCGGGGGATGTCCGCGCTGGTGTGTCGTCCCGTCGCCGGGGCCACCCGTGCTAGGGGCTGGTGCGCAGGGGCGTAGGGCCGCCGCGTGCACCACCGCCGAGGAGGCGCCATAGGGGAGTAAGCGGTCGCGGAGGGGAAAGGAGCTGCCGGCGCATGAGCAGGGCAGCGCTAGGCGGAAGGCGGCCCGGAGATAGGAGCAGCGGCAGAACGTGCGCGTTCGCGATGTTTCGTGACGGGTTTGCCGCTTAACGGGTGACTGATCCACTATGACCCGGATCGATCTGACAGCTAACGGCGACATGGCCCGATCTGTTGTCCGTCTTTTGGAAGCAAGATTCCACCCAGAGATGTGATGAGCTTGTATCAGTATGGAACTTCGCCGTGAAGCAAAGCTGCTGTAAATTACTCCGGTAATAGTCCTCTTGTTTGGCTGCCCTGCCCCGCCCCGCCTGTCTTTGTTGACGTTCATCCGAAACGTGTACAGTAAACTTGCTTAAACAATTCAAAGTGCCCTGAAAATATTGTTACTACAAATACAAGCTTTTTTCTAAAAAAAAACTCTATACACGTCTACTAAAGTAGATTATAAGCACGTTTGTCTATGAACCCACAAATAAACTTAATTTTTAGTTTTATATTTACAATACCTATAAAATTAAAATTCGTTTACTTGCATCCTAACCAGATACTACTGCCACCACAGTTAATTTTTCCTTGGACAGTTGAGCTGAGGAGCACGAGACGTTGACAAGCTCGAATCTCGAAGCTGTAGATTTTTATTTCCAAAAAAAACAAAACTAACCAACCACCGGTCTTGACCCACGCGGCACGATTCCCGAGCTCACGCTGTACAGTAGCAGGCTAGCAGCCCACGCACGAGGGTCAAGTCATCGCCACGAGTACCCCTGGGCCCTGGCCCACCCATCGCCGATCCAACGGCCGCCCGCGTCGCGACGAACACTGTCAGCTTCCGATCCGCGTGTGGTTCTGGTTCGGTTAACTTGTTTGGCAGGGCTCCGCTTGGACGGCGCGAGGAGAGCAGGCAGCCGACGACTTCCCCGCGCGGAGGCGTTGCTTCCACCCAGGTCGTCCTACGCCTGCTGCATCCCCTTCCCTCTCCCCACCTAGCAGCAGCCGATCGGCCTCGGCTACATCTCGCCGGCCGCCTCCAATTGGTCGTTCTCTGGGCCCGCAGATCTGCGCTGCTGCGCCCCGTGGAAATCTCCGCTCCTCGCTACCCGTCTCTTGGATCGATCGATCTTCCCATCGCTGGTCCTTCCAAGGAGCCGAAATTTCCAGCCGTCCCGGCGGGCGGCACGGGGATTCGAGCTCTGCTTTTATCAGCAACTCCACTGGCCGCTGGGGTTCTGTAGGAGGGCGGTGTTCTGATCGGGGCAGGGGAGCATGATGAGGGGGCAGGCGTGGCTGGCGCTGCTGGTCGTGGTGGCGCTGGCCTTGGCGGACGCGGCGGCGGGGAGGTTCGTGGTGGAGAAGAACAGCATCCAGGTGACGTCCCCTGACGAGCTCAAGGGCAAGTACGAGTGCGCCATCGGCAACTTCGGGGTGCCGCAGTACGGGGGCACCCTGCACGGATGGGTCGAGTACCCCAAGTCCAACCGGAAGGCGTGCCAGAGCTTCGACCAGTTCGACATCTCGTTCAAGCCCAAGCAGGCCGGGGGACGACCCATCTTCGTCCTCGTCGACCGCGGAGGTGACCTTGACTCTCTATCCTGTCCTTTTTTCATTTTTGGGTTTGTTGCTCCATTCAGTTGCGCGCGCTAGTTATTTTCGGAAACCTATTTTTCGGTTGTCCACCTGGTCTTTGGAATTGGTTGCTCAAATTAGTGAACCGGATTAGTGAGGGTAGTCTTCTATCGTGATTCGTTCAGTTTAGGCTTCAGCTCTACTTCCTAGCATTAATTACTGTTCAGTTACGAGCTGCTAGCCTCCCTACTCTGAGGTGTGTTGTTTGACTTTTCTATTTTAGGCTTCCATTCCCTTGAAATTGAATGAAGCCTATCCTTTTTTTTCCCTAAAGATAATGCTTCCATTCCCTTGAAACAGCTGTTGTTGTGATCCGCAGTTATATCTCTGGTCGAGGATACTTTTGTATTTGGCGAGCAGTTCATTAGAACTATATAGTGGAATACAGAATTGAGGATGCTGTAAACTTCATAAGTTCTTAAAACGAGAAGTTAAGAATATTCTGTAGTTCAATTGTATGAGATGATACTACGCAGATTTAACTTAACTAGCTTTGACTGTCTTTATGGTATATTTTCGTTAGTGACAAATTTGTAGTGATGCTTATTTTGCACGATCATCAATTATCAGTACATACCTAAGTTCTACATACTTATCCACGTACCATGATCTGTTGAGATTATTTGAATATTGATTTAGCTTTGCTTCCTGCGGTGTCAGGTCCAGAATCTGCTCACATATCACAATTTGTATATGACACATCTTCAAACTAGCATGGTGCAGAACTGCAAATAGTAAAATAAGGTTCATATTGTGCTTCTAACTTCAGAAAAAATTAAAAATAAATTGCTCACATATTTCATATTTAAAGTTGGAATAGGAATCCACAAGTACTCCATGTGATAGTATAGACTTTTCTGTTCCACAACTTATTATCTTCTTTGGAGCGCTTCATATGGCAAATAAGGCACAACTGATTCATGAAAACTGTTACATTTCTCAGATTGTTGGATAACTATTGTTGATATTTCTGTTGGTGCAAAACATGGAATTATTCAAAGATTTGACTGCATAAAAGTTCTCTTTGGTGCACATTACAGGGATTCTTACTCATGATTGAGAAAAGCTTATTCTAATGAGTCTATTATGTTTTTTAATGAACAGAATGCTTCTTCACAACCAAGGCATGGAATGCACAAAACGCTGGAGCTGCTGCAGTTCTTGTTGTAGATGACAAGTCGGAACCTCTAATCACAATGGACAACCCAGAAGAAGGCAAAGAGCACCTAGAAAACATCACTATTCCCTCAGTTCTTATAACAAAGAAATTGGGGGAAAGCCTTAAGAAATCCGCGGAAAATGGCGATATGCTTAGCGTTCTTCTGGACTGGAGAGAATCCCTTCCCCATCCCGATGAGCGCGTAGAGTATGAGTTCTGGACAAACAGTAATGATGAATGTGGTCCTAAATGCGATATGCAAATGGACTTCGTGAGGAGCTTTAGAGGAACTGCACAAATTCTTGAGAAAAAGGGTTACACTCAGTTTACTCCTCATTATATCACATGGTATTGTCCAGAAGCTTTTGTCGATAGCAAGCAATGCAAATCACAGTGCATCAATCATGGGAGATATTGTGCACCAGACCCAGAGCAGGATTTTAGCCAAGGGTATGATGGAAAAGATGTTGTGGTTCAAAATCTACATCAAATTTGTGTATTCAAGATTGCTAATGAGACTGGGAAGCCATGGCTGTGGTGGGATTATGTGCATGATTTCGCACTTAGGTGCCCAATGAAGGATAAGAAATACACTCATGACTGTGCCAGCGATGTTATCAAGTCACTTGGTATGTCTAATTCATCACTAATATGTATCTCGGTCGCTAGTGCTATTTATTTTTCTTTTGTAGCATACAAGTAATTGACTAAGTTGCTGTCAATTAAGTATTCAATGTGTCAATTCCCTGTTACAGGATTGGACATCGAGAAGATAAACAAGTGTGTTGGCGACCCTGAAGCCAATGAGGAAAATGAAATTTTAAAGGCAGAACAAGATGCCCAAGTACGACTGTGTTCATAAATAGTACTCCCTCTTTGTTTTTTACAAGGTGTATTTGTTTCAACAAGGCTTTGAGTCTTTGATCAATGATTACTCCATTAATATTTCATTTATGTGATACAGAATCATAATCATAAGCACAAAATCATAATCATAAGTAAGCATTCTTTTAACGTGGATCTAATAATATCGATTTGGTGTCATAAAAATTCTGTATTACTCCCTCCGTTCCAAATTATAAGTCGCTTTGACTTTTTTGGTACATCCATTTTGCTATGCATCTAGATATATAATAATATGTCTAGATACATAGCAAAACAGATGAACCAAAAAAGTCAAAGCGACTTATAATTTGGAACGGATGGAGTACATCTCCATCACAGAAAACATGTATTCTAGGTTTGTCCTAAGTCAAACTATTTTAAGTTTGACCAAGTTTGTAAAGAAGATTGTCAACGTTTATGAAACCTAATAAGTATACTATGAAAATATGGTCCATGATGAATGATACTTATTTGGTAATATAAATATCAATATTTTTTGTATAAACTTGGTCAAACGTAAGATAGTTTGACTTAGGACAAAACTAGATTGTGATGTTTTTTGGGGATGGAGGTAATAGTAGAGTAATTGTTGGTCAAAGGTTTGTCCTAACGAAACCAAATAAGCCTTGTAGTTTCTAAATGGAGGGAGTAACATTTTTGTTTACAAATGCTACATGCTTTACATATTTTCATCAATCTGCATTATACTTAGTTCTCTGCTTTTATTATATAGATTGGTCATGATCAAAGGGGAGATGTCACAATACTACCAACCCTTGTCATCAACAACAGGCAATACAGAGGTGAGCCTACTATCTTGTAGTGCCTATCTTTTTGTGGTCCAATGTTGTTTGTGTCACGTTTAGTTTTTCTCTTCAGGTAAGCTGGACAAAGTTGCTGTCCTGAAAGCGATCTGTTCAGGATTCGAGGAGACAACTGAGCCTGCTGTTTGTTTGAGCGAAGGTCTGTAAGCTTTCATTTTACTGCAGATATCTCTTAGTAGATCTTATCTGATGTCGCATATACTCTTTTATTTCCTTCTTTTTATCTCATATAGAGGTTCAAACAAATGAGTGTTTGGAGAACAATGGGGGTTGCTGGATGGACAAAGTTAATAATGTTACTGCATGCAAGGTACATTTTTTAACCGCTATGCATGCTGCTGATGCTTGTCTTATCCCTCAATTCTTGTCTGGTAAGAGGTTCTAATTGTATTTATGTGAGAATGCAGGATACCTTCCGTGGGCGTGTTTGTGAGTGCCCTATTGTGAGAGGTGTAAAATTTGTTGGTGACGGATATACCCATTGTGAAGGTACTCTATGAATTTATTCTTGCATTACATCGACATAAGTTATAATGGAAAATTTTCTGATCAGATAATGATTATTGCTACCTTCATTCTCTTTTCTCATTATTTTGGAGATTGCATCGTCTCCAATGCATTCATTATTCTTTTCCTGATTATTACATGTTACAAATATTATTGATATACAAATGATACGAAAACAGTTTGATGATAAATCCCTAGTATTATTTTCATGTGACAAAAATCTAAATGCTTTCATGTATACCAGTGGTTCAAGTTTTAAAATGCTGACTACACACTCATTTTAAGAGGCTAAGTAAAATAGAATGTAGGCAGTTGTAATTTGTAAATCAGTGTTGTTCGTGTTACTATGTGGTATTTTACTATTGCACGAATACCATCTTATCAGATATTATATGTTAACTGATATTTGAGGATGCAATACTACAACTATGATTGAAATTTGCCATTGTCAGCTTCTGGTATTGGTAGGTGTGAGATCAATAATGGAGGGTGCTGGCAGGAAACTAAAGATGGGAAGACAATCTCTGCCTGCTCAGTAAGTAAATGTTGTTTTGAGACATTTGCCTTTTGCTTTGCAGTTTGTTTACATTGTTAATAAATTTGGAATTCTGCAGAACGAAGTATCTGAAGGTTGTAAATGTCCAGTGGGTTTCAAGGGTGATGGAGGAAACAGTTGTGAAGGTATCATTCAGAAAGTAGTTGTTTACAGACTTGAATTCAACATTGTTTTGAAGGGGCAGAAGTTGATTCTATATTTGTATATATTGGACCAAAGGGAATACCTTACATTCTAAGCACTGAAATCCTAACAAATTTAGGAAATCCAAGGGGCACAGAGATAACAAAACGCAAGGTTCAGCTCAACCAGCTACCACAGAAACCATGAGCAAATCCAAATACAGTACCAGTACATATCACAAACTGAGTACCACTATTGATACAGTGACTTGAAGTTCACTCAGTCAGAGTTGCCTCCAGCCTCCTTTCAAACGGAGTAGAAAATTTTCCACCCTGATGATCTCTGCCTTGTGCACAATCAAATTTTTGTTGCTGTAAGAAATCGCCAAACTGCCAAAGAGACTAGTCAGATTATGAAAAAAGTCAATCATTTCTTGTCCGGCATGGTACCCAAAGGGTCCCATCTTTTCTTTTGGCACTCGCAGACCCTTGAAAATTCAACTCACAGTCGTCCCACTGTATTTGTTTTGGATGCCACTTCAAAGCATCTCTGATCCAATGCCATACTAATTGCCCTAGCTGAGACCTAGAAGTTACATTGTATGGTCAACAGTTGTGTCCATTCCACTTTCTACATCGCCATCCCAGTACCGTATTACATTGGTCCCACATATTGGTTTAGCACTTCACACATATTTATCAAATACCGCTTCTTTTTTAGAGCATAGTCTTCAATTGAAGTTCTTAGAGTAAAATTTACCTGCTAAGGATGGTTCTCTAATTCCACTTTTGAATAACGCAGACTATTTTTTTGTGATATATTTTAATCTACTTATTATTTGCAGACATTGATGAATGCAAAGAGAAACTTTACTGTCAATGCAAGGGTTGCAGCTGCAAGAATACATGGGGAAGCTATGAGTGCAGCTGTGGTGATGACAATATGCTGTACATGAGGGAGCATGACACTTGCATCAGTGAGTAGCTGGACCTGCATTTTTACATAGTCTATTTCTGTCTTCATATTTTCCTTGCAAGCACCTTTTCAGATGAGAAGTACGAAATTCTATCTTTTGTTTGAGATGATTGATCTTATTCCTTTTAAATGATGGGGAAAAAAAAAACTGTTCTCAATCATCTGTTACTTTCTGACTAACACAATTATGCTCTAGTTGCTTAATAAACAGTGATTATTTCAAAATAAAATTTGCTTGATGTTGCACAGACTTTACAATGTAATCCCTGGAGCTACTTATTCCATGAACTGTAAACCTATTTTCGTGTACAGAAGTTTCATTGCATGTCTATGTCAATTCTAGTGAAGCTGACAATAATAGCAGATTTATCAATGTGTCATAGATTCTTGCTTGTTACACTTTCTTTATTGCTTTTAATTATATCCTCTATCTTTTTAGGATTGCTTGAATCAAATGGCATATAATCATCACAGTTTTTCATCGATGTGATTTTTGGGCCTAAGTAGATGCCATGTCAGTTACTATTAGTTCTTTGTTCTTTTCCTGTAGTACTGGACTTTTTTTAGGTCAACACAAAAAAAAAGTCCAGCACTACGGGAAAAAGAAAGCAGTAGATGATGCACGTGTATATAGATAAGCCTATGGATATTCTAAGATATTTTGCACAAGTAAAAGTTACCCGCCATTCATTTCAACTTTTATTGTATGAGTCTCGTACCATTTCTAAATGATGTGCAGGCAAAGAGGGAACTACCACTACTGTTGGCTGGAGCTTCCTCTGGGTTATTTTCTTTGGACTTGTTTTTGCCGGGGTTGGAGCATACGCTGTGTACAAATACAGGCTGAGGGTAAAACAACTCCCGATTTCTCAGTTTCCTCTCTACCCTTTGATCTTTATATGCAAGTGGTCGCATGTAGGACTTGATTTGCTAGTTGTTACTGTAATAATGGTACATTTGTTACTGAAATCTTCGTCATCATTTCACCAGAGTTACATGGATTCGGAGATCCGTGCCATCATGGCTCAGTACATGCCTCTGGATAACCAAGAAGGAGCAAACCAGCATCAGGTCGTGCACGCCAATGATATTTGAAGCGGCACTCCTTTTCTGGAGCAGCATAGAGGGAGCGCGCAACATTTCACTTATGCTGCTGGATCATTGGACATGGGTTTTACAAATAGGTCAACTAGGCTCAAAGATACACGGGTTGTGCGAGGAGATCAAGATCTACTGTACCATGTATTAACAGAGAGACTTTGTGCACCTCTTGTTACGACACTTGATGAACAGCATAGGGGATGATACCATTGTAGTTTTAGTAGCCCTTCGTTGCCTTTAGTACTCTTCAAACTTGTGAGTTCTTGTTGCCTCGCCGCATACTTATTTTTTTTAGATAATGGAACACGTCGCATGCATGTGAACACTGTAAATACCGTTACCTGGATAAAGCTTCAGCCCGCAAGGCTACAAGCAGTATACCAATGCTCTCAAGCACTGGTTTTACGTACATGTCTGTATATGTGATTGATGACAGATTACTTTCGCTGCTTCTGTCCGATCCTGTCAAATCAAAATTATCTGTGTAATTATGGTAAACATGGTTTGTGTATGAACTGCAAACTTAGGCACCTGTGTGAGATTCTCCCTGCTCTGCTGGTCTGCTGCATGCTGAGAAAATATCAAAAGGAGAACTGCTGGTCTGCTGCATGCTCAACCATTGCAGTGCTATGAAGGATTGCAGCATACAGGTGCTCCAAAAGGGGCGAAACCCAGACCCACCCAACAAAAGAAGGGCGCGCCGCGCGCGTGTTGCCGCCTTTTTCATAGAAAAGCACAGGCAGCATGATACCGTGTGTGCAATCGTGGTATTCCTTTCTTTCTTTCGAGGGAGGGAGGGTGCGCTCGATCGATTTCTTCTGGGCTTTTGATGCTGCTGCTCAATCTTGCTTTGAGATGCTCGCAGCTGCTACTATTGGTCCGTGTGGAATTCTTTCCAGCAGCTGGTTTATTTGGCCATGACTCAAACTCAAGCTGTCAAGCATATAGCTGCTCATCTGCAGGGCGTGGATATGAACAATATCTCATTGAAAGGCTATCGCGTGGTGCTGTCAGCTGTGCTCTCGATCTGACCACGATTCTGGTTGCGATGCGTGGTGCTGTCAGCTGTGCTCACACTGGTGCCATGCACACGACGTACGGAGTACTAGCTAAACATTCGATCACTCTGCAAGTGAGATTTGGCTTTTCTTTACAGGGGCATCGGTGAATGGTGCGGCTTTCGAGAGCGCGTGCCCGTGGTCGATCGTGCGACCGCAGAAATGTGTCCAAAACCAAGACGCATGCATGAGCATGACCGCACAGATCTACGAAGAGAATCGTGGAAGAAGGATAGTCATGGATAATGAGCGACTTGGAGATCCAAGCAGATACTCAGCACGTTCGCTTCTTGTTTTCAGCCAGAGCTTATCAGCTATGGTATAATATTTTTTCTCACAATAAATCAACACTAGCCGAGCTTATCAACCCAGAAATCAACCAGCGAACAGGCTGACTGTATGTACTCTCGATAGAGGGCCATCATTTATGTCAGATCGGATGGTCGGACATATACTCATGAGTCATGAAGCTCCAAGTGCAATCCTGATCCAGCTTTGGAAAACAGAAATGCTAAATGAAATTCGAGTGTTTTGGGGCAATCCAAAACTCGTTTTTTTCTCTTCTCTTCTCTTCTCATCTCATATCTTCCTCTTCCTCTCTTTTTCTGCATCTCCGGCGGGATTAAAAAGTGGGTTGGGGGGAGATAGGCAGGCCTGGCGGTGGGGACAGAAGAGACAGCGGTGAGGCGGAGGCGACGGTGACGCTGTCGGAGCGGACGGCCGAGGAAGAGGTCGGTCATGGTTAGGGCGGGGGTGGTCATGTCCATGACAACGGTGGGGACGAGGGGAAGGAGGAGGTCATCCCAGTCCTACCACGCCACAGCACACAGCAGGGCGATTGGCAGTGGGCGGCTGCACCTGGCGCTGAAGGTAAAAAGATTGGGTATGGGAAGGGCTCCCAACACCCGAGTGTTGTCTAGATAGATACTTGAAAAATTCTTCTTATTTTTTTACAACGATAAACTCACTACTCTTGGGCCACATGAATTGCAGGCAAGTACAATTTTAGAGTCCCTTTGAAACACAATAATTTGACAGGAATTCTATAAGAATTTCGTAGGATTTAGTTCATTTTTTTTGAAAAAAAAACAGCGAAGGGCGTTAGGAATCACGTCGGTATCTCTTGAAGGTCTTGTTTAGACTGTGGATAAGAAATCAGTATTTGGCACTGTAGTATTTTTGTTTGTATTTGACAATTATTGTCTAATCGTGGCCTAAGCTCAAAAGATCCGTCTCGTAATTTACAATCAAACTGTGTAATTATTTATTTTTTTTATCTACATTTAACACTCCATGCATGTGTCCAAAAATTTAATGTGATAAAGAAAGAGTGAAAAAACTTACAATTTAAGGCATCGTTTAGATGCGAAAATTTTTGGCTTTTGGCTACTGTAGCACTTTCGTTTGTATTTGGCAAAAATTGTCCAATTATGAACTATTTAGGTTTAAAAGATTCGTCTCGTCAATTACGGGCAAACTGTGCAATTAATTATTCTTTTTACCTACGTTTAATGCTTTATGTATATGCCGCAAGATTTGATGTGACGAGAAATCTTAAAAAAATTTGGATCTTGGGAGAATCTAAACATAGCCTAAACATGGCGAGAACGCACGGACAGTACCTGACAGCCCATGAAAGGTGAGATTCGACCGTTCATGGGCTCTCGTACTCGTAGGGCAGCTAGTACTACAGTCTACAAGGCTACAGCAGGCTCGGCGGTCCCAGGAACCATCTTCTTGGGCTCGTTTAGATTACAAATTTTTTCACTCTCTCCGTTATGTTAAATCTTTACACATATAAATATTAAATGTAGATAAAAAAATAATTAATTACACAGTTTAATTATAAATTATGAGACAAATCTTTTAAGCCTAGTTAGACTATGATTGAACAATAATTATTAAATACAAACGAAAATGCTATAAAGCCAAATACTAATTTCTAACACCAAATCTAAACAAGGCTTTGAATCGCATTGATCCTTCCTGCCTGGCTGCCTTGTCCGACCCGCTCGTCGCCGTCACAGACGACTGCTCCTCGCTGCCGCTGCGGCGCTACTTAAAACTGCGGGCCTGATGAGCCTGCTGAAACAACTGTACGCGTTGGACGTGGACGGGAACGAGAACGACGTAGGGGCCACGTCCACGCATGCACGGCGGGGCGCAATGAATGCGTATTGATGGCGGCAATCAAAACGCCCTGATGCCCCCCTGCTCCCCCTGTCCTGCGGCGGGAGCAGCAGGGCCGGCCGGGACAGACGGCGCAACGGCCATCAATTCCCTTCCCGCGCGGTTGGACGGGCGGGGCAGCCATTCTGCCGTGCGCGGTGCGCCTCGGCGATCGGCCTGGCGGATCACAAGCGCTTCCGGCCGCCGCGGCCGAGATTCTCTCGCGATCGATGCGCGCGCTCTAGCTCTGCGCTGCGGCCTTGCGGGCCTCACTCGGCCAGCGCCGGTGCCTGGGTTGTAGGAGTAGGCTGTAGGCGGTAGGGTGCAGCGTGCAGCGTTACAAATGACGAACGGCTGGCGCGCGCAGACGTGGACGGTACGTGCTCACCTTGTAACGCCATGCAAACCCGTGACCAATGGCCAATGGGTCATAGCAGAAGAGTTCCCGTGACCAATGTGGTAACGTAACCTGGGAGTGCGCGTACAAATAGAGAAAATTCCTTCGTTGCCATAAAAAACTATAACGATCTCTTCGTTGCCATTCAAAATTATATGTTCCCTTTGTTGCCATCAGTTTTAGATTTTCCGTTCTTTAGCTGCCACTGCTGTTACAGAGGAGTTACGGCGTGACTTGCTCCCATAGGGACTTGCTCCCATAACCGACGTCTCAGACACCATCGCAGGGCTGGCTTGGGGTCATGGGCTCGACGTCGCAGGGTTGGAGCAGGGTGGCGTGGCGAGGTTGGGTCACGGGGCTCAACGCGACTCGCCCTGTGATGATGGTCTTGAGCTGCTTCAACATCCCTGCTCGGCTTCGGTGCAAGGGACGCGGTCCTCGCGTGGAAGATGATGAGGCCAGCAGGTGGTGGCGTCTTCCACGAAGAGCGGCAGGGCGGCGGCCGGAGGTGATGGCGCGTCTGACGGAGAGTAGCAGGCGGCGGGGTGGAGCTTCAGCGTCACGGAGAAGGCTCGGACGCCGCCTCGAGGATGGTTGCGCTTCACGTCGGCGCGGCGTGGTCGCTTTCGCCGTGGGCGCTTCGCCCTCGCGCTTTCGGCCGGCGGCGTCGCGACGCGCGGTTCGCTTCGCTGTCGCTCTCCGCGTCTTTCGCCCGGGCGGGGCAGCCGATCGCCATTCTGCAGATACGCGCTGCGCGGCCGGCGCTGCGCCCCGGTAGGTACGGCGGCGGCGCGGCGCGGCTTCTGGCGGATCACAGCGCGCTGGCTCGGCCTTGCTTCTCCTCCGTGCTCGAACTTGCTTGCTCGGCGCCGAGATGGAGAAGAGAGAGAAGAGGATGGGGCAATCTTGTGGCTCTCGGTATGGACGCGAGGCATGGACGGACAACTCTGCAGCGGCGGCGACAAAGGCGGACAAGGACCAGGACCAGCAGCGTGGCGCGCCTGCGTGCTTCACCGCATGGCTCGGCCACGCCCCGGCGCTCCGCGAAGCTTCGCCCTCGCCTCTAGGGCGGCTACGGGCGCGCTGCCAGCGCCCGGACGCCACTTCTCGCTTCCACGCCACAGCGAAGCTCGCTCTCTCATCCTCGCTTCACCACCTTCCTCCTTCCACCACCGTGAGTCCACAACCTCCTTCCTCACCTCGACCTCGACCTCCTCGGCGGCGCCGGCCCGGCACGGCACGGCGCGCGCAGACGGCGGGCCACGCGTCGACGGTGGCCGCGGGCGCAGGCTGAGAGGCGCAGCCGCGGCGACCTCAGCCGACCTCAGCCGAGCAGGTCTCTCATAAGCATCGGGACCCTCCTCACGCCA